CCCTCGCGAACTGATTTTTCCCCTCTGGGGGGGAAAAAAAAAAAAAAAAAAAAAAAAAACTATATAAAAGACTGAAATCAAAACTCAACCAACTGTAAAGAAAAAAAAAGGAAAACGTTTGAATGTGCAGGTAGAATTTTTGACTTTTTTATCAAAAAATAAAGGAAGCAATGTCTAGGATAAAACAGACTGTCTTCCTCTGATACGAAGCTCTGTTTTTCTTTTTCTTTTATTATTTGAGTAGTTTTTTAGAAAATCAATGTTTTCTTAAATTCTTATTGCCTTAATTTTCTCAGACTTTGGGGGGAAAAAAAGACTCCATAGTGTTAAATTCTTTTAAAAAATGATTGAAAGTGTGTTGTGAGAGTCTCGGAGAGGAAATCTACAAAGCTATCTGTACAGGTTTAAAAAAATAAAAGATATTACAATAGTTTGAAGATGACAAGTGGTGAAGTGCAAAAAAAGTCGATGGATTAGATGGACAAAAAAAAAAAGACTTTAAGTGGCTTGTTGAAGGAGTTGATCCGCGGCTTCCTGGGCAATGTGGTTTGGTGTGACGGTGGGATCAAATCTCAGTTTCTCCGCCACATTGTCTCATTTTCAGGTTTTGTTGTTCTTTTCATTGCAGTCCAAATGTTCTTGTTTGTGTGCTTTGTTTGTCTCACAACATAAAGAAATGAAAAACTTCAACAACCAAATTGAAGATAAGATAAAAAAAAAGAAAGAAATTAGGGTTTATAAATGTGTGATAAGCAATAGTTTGAGTAAAGCTGTCGACAGTTTCTTGAGTCTTTCTTAACGGTTGAACAAACGCTGCCGATGGCATATTTTATACCAAAGACGAAGAAATTATGTAGAGAAGAGATCTTCCTTGTTGTTTGTTTCACTGTTTCACTTTTTAAAAGTGAAACACATTCTTGCTTATCATGGTTTTTAGTGGATGAGAGTCCCCAACGCAGCTTGTGAGATTAAAATAAAATATGCAGTAGGTCTTTAACTCGACTGCCTCAACGAGAAGAGCAGCTTAGTTTGCCGTGATGTTGAGTTCAGCGATGATTGAAGAGGAGCATCGTTCTCGACAGAGCGGTGGCTTATGATGAGGTGGCTGAGTTGCTGAAATTAAATCCTTGTTTGCTAAAACACTACAGATTTCATTAACGCAATTTGGAATGCAAACTCTGATTTGCACAGATAACTTTGTTTGTTTAAAATGTGGCACTGTGGAGCAGTTATAGGCCGCCAGCATCTTGCCTCCAGAAGACAGCGACCAAAAGTAAAACTGAATCCCTCAATGCTAACAGAAAACAAACATTTTTTGTCATTTCACTGAATGAAAAGTTATAAATTTTTATTGATTACATTCTGGGGTTTTTTTTTATTATTATTTATCTGGTTTCTGATATCAAATGATCACTGAAAGGTTTATCTAAAGGAATATGTTGCAGTCATATGTACATGTGGGAATAAGATTTTAATATATTGATAAAATATGATATACATATAAATCTACGTTAGTAACCAAAGTCATGCGATGCATTTTCAGGCAAGACAAGTATGTTTTTTTTAAGGAAAAAAAGTCAAATACTTTTAGGAATATTATATTACAATAAGATGAAATTTTATGGGAGATTATACATTTTAAAACACTCTTTACGGAGGGCATTACCTTGGCATTAACTTACGAAGGCATGACGCAAAACATTTGAGTACATTTTATTTTCATAGCTGCATACATGCAAAAATAATTTACTTGAACTCTCAAAAGAGAGCAATTATTTTAGCACTAACCTTTATTTTTTAATTATAATTCACCCCAGTTTCTGCAAACTGAGATTACTCTCGTCGCTGTCTTCTGCAGTTGAGACACTGACTACACATACTGACGTGCCATTCACAACCCACTTTAAACAAGCAGAACTCGTTCTGTTAAACAATCTGTTTTGTCTGTCTTGCCAAACACATGTAATGTGTAAACACCAATGACCTCTGTCAGACAAAAGGGCACTTCTGCAGAACAAAACAGTTTCAGCTTACGAACACTCTTCTACAAGGGCAATATTTTTCGTGCAACTTTTTTTTTTTTTTTTTACTGTCATTTGACAATTACTTATATTTGAGCTGCTAAACACTTTTCAGTATTGGGGAAAGAGGGTGTCCTGTGTTGTGTATGTGTGTGTGGGGGCGGGAAAAATGCACCATTGAAATACAGCAACTGATTATTTTAAGGCCGAATGAAGACTGAAGAAGAAAAAATGAACAAAACATTTGTTCTGAGTACGAGTGCATCAGATGAGTGGAAAGAAATCAGGAGAAGAAGAGTATGTGTTGTGGTTCACACTGGTTCTGAGTCCACATCCATCTAGACCGACATCACTTTGGATGGAGGTTAAAAGACAAAATGGATGGAGAAAAGGTGATTTTTTTTTTTTTTTTAACCAAAACTAAGCAGATACAAACTTCTCATGGAAAATAAACTATTGGAAGCAAAAGAGGAGGCCGAGGAAACAAAGGTAATATTTATGAGGTTGTTTTTGTTGTACAGGCGTGTAAAAGAAGATGCAAAACTTTGAGGACGCTATTTTTTTATTTGCTTGGTCACATGCCTCCAATGTCTTTCAAAGTTGTGATTTTGAGTGTCTGTAGAACCAGTGGGTGTTGCTGTAGTTTCACACGTGTGTTTTTTGTTTGTTTTTGTTTTTCTTTTTTGACAAAACTTTCAATAAATTTTTTTTTTTATAAAAACAGCCAGTGCCCACATTTCTTAATGGCTTGTACAGCATCTTACCACTAGGGTGCAGCATTGTTTTTTGCATACAGCCTAAAGGCAGGTTTATTGCATGTGCACACATACTGCTTCAAGCAATCACAAGTTTAACTCTTCCAGAGTTATTTGAACAACAGATTGAGTAATTTTCACTTGGAAGAGTCAAAAATGATCAATCTCTTGTTGAATAACATGAAACTAACTAATACCAATTCTGAAAAGGCCCAAATAGACTCGGCACAATGTTGCTTCAACTCCGACAAATTTGTTGTGTGCTCAAATTAAAACCAAGCAGCTGTTTATTATTGCCTGTTTTCATATGAATCATCCTATTTTGGGGAATTTGAGTGTTTTCAAGATTGTTGGTCATTAGTACAGCAAAATATTTTGTGTATTGGTGGGCTGCCTCTGTTTTTTTCATGTGTTTTTTTACAATTTACAATAAACTGAAAGGTATGTTGTAAGGTTGCATACATAGTTCGGCAGTGCTACTTTCTGTGAAGTGATCAAAAGTAAATAGTGTACATCTGTGACTGCAAGTAATGTGACATAAGGCAACAACTTAATCTTATAGTATGGGTGAATAATGGGTGAATAATTCTGAAGGTAATGAGATGACTACAAAAGATGCAGTCAAAGAACATGTTTATTATACAGTTATGTTAGTTATCAAAGCATTGAAACAGTGGGGGAAGTACAATAAAATGAAAAACATGCATCAGTTTTTCAAGTACAGTCAAAATTGTTCTAAAATGAAACACCCTCAAGAACAGACAGTTATTTTTAATTAGGTACATTACGTAACCATTGCATGAATGAATTTGGAATATAAGACATGACGACATCCAAGTGTTTTTCAGTGATCTCATGTATGAGAGTTGGTTTTTGTGTTACTCTGTAAGTGGATCTTCCACATCTAAGTATAATACTTCAGATGTCTGATATAAAGTGTGAAAACGTTACAGACAATAATCAAACACTAATGTTTAGTTTAAACTTTTGTTCTTGGAGCTTTACCACCATAATCTTTCTATGATCAAAGGAGGGATGAAGAAAAAACAGAGATGTGTTTTTTGGGCACTGCCCTGTTTATCGCTTAAAGCTGCAACATATACATATTTATTAAAAGTGTTGTAACAGTATGACAGAAAACTTGTGAAAAGATTGATTTCCTTCACCTCCTTCCAGTGCTACTATCGCCATCAGAAAAAATCCAACACTCCTGATCTGAAACAACCAATTGGAGCCAGGAGGAAGGTCCAAGTGCTGTCAATCATTCTTGTGTATGCACTGCTAACTGTGCTAATAGCGGAGAAAACAACTTACCAATACAGGAAAATTGTCCATCAGCGGCCATTATAACTAGACTGAGCATTCATGACATTCTCTGTTGTTGAAAAAATTCTGTTATGTAGCATTGAGAAAAGGGGGTGGGGTGAGCGGCTAGTACACGAGAGTGATTTACAGCACTAAGACCTCATCCTGGCTCTGATTGGTTGTTTCTGACCGAGCGCTCAATTTCTGCATTTGGTACTGGGAACACTGGGACGAGGCAGATGAGTTTGCATGGGTCATTGTAGTATACTGTCATAACACAGTGATGGTCCCACAAAACATTGTTACTAAATAAAAGTTACGTAATGCGACCAAAAAATGCAACCAAAGTCTAAAGAGTGCAAATGAGCCATTTCCTGAAGGTTTTATCTCAGCGCTACGCACCTCCTATACTGCTTGATGTTTTTCTGAATACAATTATAACAAAAACATTCACAATTTATTATTTATTACAATAAGCAATAAAGACGTGTCATTATCAAGCCAGGTAGGAGCACTGCTGTTCCCTGATACTGCGACTCAGAGGCGACTCACCCCTTCATCCCTTTCTAATTCATTTTTGTTCAAATAAAAAAGGATGGCCTGTTTATGTCTGCTTACATAGATGTGTGATGAATCTGTGACCTAAAAGTAGAACTGACACCGGAAGTGGAGGGGCATTACCTCATCATGAGGAAACAGGACAAATACTGATAAGTTTCCTTGATGTTCCCATTAGAACAACATTTTGGATATTTTCAACAAAAAAAAAACAAACAAAAAAAAAAACACAATTTTTCTGTGGATGCTGAGAAAAAAAAATCGACCAGTGCAAGCAAAATATGTGTTGTCCTCCTGCAATGTGATTTATCTTTTGCAAGCACTGGGAAAAAAGAATGTTTAACCATAAACTTAAGTGCAAATACATTTTCTATGTAAATCTTGCATCAGAAGTTTGAACTGAAAAAAAAAAAAACACATCACTTAATTTAGTGATGTTCCACAAACATGCTTGATCACATGCTGCTGCAGCACATTCCAGCAAAGAACAAAATAATTTCCTATGCTCTCCTTAATTTCCTTTCATCACCTATCAATAGCAAATACGAATGAGGATGATAAATCCTAAGACTGCTGTTACAATGATTAGAGCTGAAAACAGAAAGATGAGACCAGCAAAGACCGGGTTTGTCATTGGAGTGATTTCTTTCACTTCAGACGGGATCATGTTGGACATGCTCAGCATGTAGCCCAAACTCCAGCCTATGCTTGTTTCCTTTATCTGAGGAGGGAAGGAGAAGGGTTGCACACATGCATGTTTAGTCGTGCTTTCTTTACTCCAACATCAGTTTGAGCTCTAAAGATGGCAGAATCATGCACAACAGAAGGAGGCTAGATAGAGTTCTGACTAGGAATACAAATGCACGGCACATTTTTGTTCTTGAATTCGTAAAAAAGCTAGATGTTTCTGATTTAGACTTATGTTGCATTTTCTTTGAGCCTCACCGTCGCACTGCACATACATGACATTTGAAGTTTCGGATACTGAATATTTTTGTGCTGAAGCAACACAAACAGCTTTAAGACACTAGATGAGTCATAACATGCAAATAACACCCCAGTAAAAAAAGAAAAATTCATGTGTCTGGTTTTTGGCTCTTTCTATAACGACCTACTGACGGTCATAATACCTCAGGGAGCCCCAATGAGAACATTAATTCTTTGTTCAAATCCGGGAGTGCCTCAAGTATTTGAGGAACAAAAATGCCTTGTGCCTAAAGGCCAACGTCTGAATGAGTGACAAATGGCAGTCTGGAGTTTAGATATTTTGTAGAACCGCTGTCTTTCATTTTGTCTTATGACTGATGGGCACAGTGTAATACTTGGGAAATCCCACTTCTGTAAGGGTCTTTGTCGAAACATGCTCTTCATATGTTCCACTATTTCAGAACAAAATAATTAGCGAGTCAGTGATCTGTTATACGACTCAGTGGGTGGCCCCAAGCAATGTTTTACACATCTAAAGATGGCTTGAGTCCCAACATGGATGCACTCTGAAGCTCTAGTTTTACAGCAGTTCATTGATTTTCAGAAACGCAGAAAATAAAGCAGTTGATAGAAGCAAAACTTTCAATCAAGACAGGCTTTTACGTCGTTTTGGATGTTGTCCTACTTACCTTTTGTTCAAAGTGAATATTTTTCCAAGTCTCATTGTCAAACTTATAGCCATCTGCCAGAAGAGTGAGGACATAGTGACTGGCAAAGCAGTAGGTCTTGAGGTATCCGTCAGAGATCCAGTGCTTTTTTAGTTTTAGCTTAAGACAAGAAACAGATCAAAGTGAAAATTGTAGTTTGACAACAAATAAAACCAGCTGCATCCCTAAAGTCAGAGTAAAGAGGCAACATGTAATTCATGCAGAGCTGGTCTTTTCAACAGATTGGCGCCTACTGTTGGTTGGAGGACAATAAGTGCATTTCCATCCACACAAGACAGTTTTGCAATGCAACAGTAGCACACATACTAAGCTTTTATCTTTCAAATAGTGGTGTATACTATTGGTATGTGGAAATATTGGATGCAATGTCTCAGTGTCTATCAGTCAGGACGTTAAAGGGTGAGGGAAGATTGTTCTTTTGAATGAGCAGCTATCAACTTCAAAGAGGTTAAAGGTAGTGGTTTTCACAAAGGTCTGAGTCTCACATAAAATGTGTTGGCAGGGTTGCAAATGGGTGTGAGGACCTATCAGTTATTTTTCACACATTCATGAACACACTGCTTTATTTTTCTGTGTCCCTCATCTTCCTTTATATTGTTCTTCTTTGCACTTTCTATTGTAGCTTCACATCAGTTCGGATGGCCTACCTCGGCCCAGTCAGTGTTGCAGAAGTTCCCAACAGCAATGTTGAACTGATCAAGGTCGGATTTCCCACTCTGCTCCAGCGCTCGAGCGATGAAGAAGAATCCAGCATATGCCTAAAAGAACCATAAGAAACAAACATTCATTTATTCTGGATCAACAACTACTTACTTGTATCTGCAGTTGGATCTACAAGTGTTACCATAAAATCTCCGGTCACTGGCGGCTGCTCCACCCCGTTGAAGGAGCACTGCTTTGAGGAACAGTTCCGAAAGTTAAATATGGACTTCACTATTTCCCCGCATTTTTCCGAGTCGGCCCCTCCAACCATGTAGAACTCTTGATTGGAGTTGTAGTTTTTGGGTTTCAGTATGCACACCGTGTCATAAATGGATGAAGCTTGTATGGTAATGTTGAAACCTTTGGGGTAGCAGGGATTTATTACGTAGGCTGGGTCAGATGATTCCTGAAAACGTCCAAAGTAAAGACATGTCATCATGAGACAAAAAGAATGAGCATGATGGCACTTGATTAGAAGACTAACAGAAGCTTTTGTGTTTTAAAACCTTAAACCCATCTTTCCATACAGGTAACAGATTGTAGTGTATTCACATTAGTTCCACTGTACACCAACACAATATATCTCTTCCTATCACATTGTCATTGATTTTGAAAATTGGGCTGTAAGTTACGAGAAATTATGATTTTGACACAGGCTGCTAGAATGACATTCCAATCAATATTCTTAATGACATAATGCATTCTTGACTGGTTTTCCTTTGACTGTTAGGAACAGCAGTATTCACTAATCTATTTTTAACAGGGCATTAATGGACATCAGCTTTCACATGAATGGGATTTCTTTTCTTGATGAATCTCGGCTAGCTCTTCAGTTATAGTTAGCTTAGTCTGAACACATTCACAATGTTTTTGGGCCAGTTTGGTCTTTGCGGTCTGACAGCCCTGCTGCAAATTCCAGTAAGGTGCCACTGTTTCCAGTCGCATTTACATACAACAATATTTTCTATTTTGTTTAGCTTTTACTGCCTGTTTTATGTTGTTTTATCAACATTTAGTGCTTTGCATAAGTACCCTTCACCCTCTTTTTACGCCTTGCCACATTACAAGCACTAACTTTCAGTGTTTCAGTGGGACTTTTAGGCAACACCCGTGAATAACCTACGCTGCAACCAGTTGCCTTCAGAAGTCACATAACATGCAAACAGTATGAAATATTGAATCATGCAGCTGATCTTTGGAGACCTTATAGAGTTGTTGCAGAACATTAATGAATAAATGTTCTAAAATATATATTTCAAGTCTTAAACATCTTTCAGAAAACCAGAGGAACAATGGAATGGTTATAATATATTATATATATTCATATTTTGGAATGGCCAAGTCAAACTCCAGACCTGAATTCAATTGAGATTCTGCACAGGACCTGAAAATTGATTTTCACAGATGCTCTACAGCAAATCAAAATGATATTGAGCTTTTTAGATTTTTTTTTTAAATCAGTATCTTGATGTACTAAGAAGGTAGATACAAAACTCAAAAGGAATAATTTTAAAGCACTGATTCATAAAGACAGAATATGAAGGCATTAAGAATACCTAGTAGAAGTTGCATACCCTGATTACTTTGTCCAAAACCTTCTTGTCAGCCTCATTTTTGCCGTAGCAGAGGAAACTGTGTGTGTAGACAGTGTAGGGATAACCATACAGCTTGACACTCTTGTAGTCAGCCCCCTCCCCACGTTCCTGAACTTGGAAGGCGATCTGTGTTGATGCTCCGCCGAGATCCATAGACCCGACTGTCTCTGCTCCATTTGGACGGATGTAAGTGTTCCACATGTTTTTCTACAAATTTAATTGGAATAATTTAGGGAAAAGCAACCGTACCTTACCCTGCTCCTGTTCACAGAGCAGTTGTGTTTCTATAATTTAAACAGTTAAATGGATAAGTACACTCTCAAGTCTCACCTGTAGGAAATTTTCCTTCAGGTAATTCACTGTGATCCACCCGTACAGCCCCTCTTCCTGTCCGGTGATGATGGAAGCTTTGTGGAACTGGAAGTCTTGTTTACTCAGGAAGTCTCTGAGTTTTCCCATGATTTTATTGGCTCTTTTCTCATCTTTCATTCTTAAAAGCAAGACACAAACAATAATCAATCGCACAGCAAATTGCTATAGAAAGTGCAATTCTGACCAGTTTAAAACTATGTCCTCACAATACGGCCTGTACCTTCTCTGAGTTTATTCTGTGCTTTCCTAAAACCTACCAGTTAATTTATGTATTTATCTTCTAATCAGAAATTGAAACCCTCTGCTTCTTATAATTTTGGAGGTAAATAGGGAGAGCAGTACCTCTTCTAACTCCATTCCTTGATTTTTTCTTTGGAACTGATAAACAAAGACTTAGCATTTCATTACTAAATATAGCACAGTTTAAAAACAACGGTGTGGTTTAGGATATTGTCTCTTTCTTACTCTAGCAGACGCATCCCAGCTGTCGCTCCCAGAAACAGGGGTGTGGTTTTGTGCTTTTCTTCAGGAATGTGATTCTTGATTTTATCCATGCAGTCTTGAAATCCTTTAAAAGTTTTTTCATCTTCCTTGGAACTGACCTCGAGTTCTGAGATAGGAGCCCCTGGAGGCACAAATCTGTGTTTGGATTATTCCTTCAAAAACAAACATTGCATTTGAAACTGTTTAACGGAGGTTTATGTGAAACATTAAACATAAAAAAAAACAACAACTCCAAATTCATTTGGATTACACTAGCTGAAGATTTTGACTTTGCTGAGTTGCTGTTAGAAAAAGTTGAAACATTTCTACCAACATTATGCAGCCACTTCACTTACCATTAACTTTACAGTTCTTTCTTTCAGTCACCACCCCGGTCTCGTTCTCCTTCTCCCCAGGCCATTCGTACAGGTAGACATTGGAGCGAGAGGAACCGGAGTCTATCACAATGCCAAACTGAGGAAAAAGCATGCAGGAAAACATCAGCCCTCCATGTGAAAGTTTTGCAAACTGTATATGTAAAGACTACATCTTTTACAGTGAAGCAAAGGTGTGTCTGACTGCTGGCTGACCTTTTTTTGTTGTTGTTGTTGTTTTCTTGTCTCACATTATAAACCAGTGGAACCAGTAGCTGAGCTCTACCTTGATAATGTCTTGAAAGTGTGTGATTGTGCAGGTACATTGTATAAATCTGTAGATATTATTCTTCTCATGCATGTGTGTGTATGTGTCCTTGTGCGATTGATTAATGTTTGATACAACGTATGGACCTTTTTTTCAACTAATGCAATGCTGTGGGGACCAGCTGCTCCCTATGGGGCCCTAGCATTGAGCCCCATAGGGAGTAGTGCTGTTTTTGCAGTGTAGGGTTAGGCACGTACTGGCAACAGTTAGATTCAGGGTAAAACTCAGGTTTAGATTACAGAAATGAATGAAAAATGAACAGAAGCCAAGGCAAAGTCCTTGAGAAGACAGAAAGACACACTTGTGTGCATGTGTGTTGATGTGTGTGTGTGTGTGTGTGTGTTCACCTCTAATCCATACTCCTTAACCTTTAACTTGTCCTGGACAACAGCAACAACAACAAGGGCAGCAATGCTTCCAATCAATAGGAGCATCACTCCTGCTATGCGACACTTGTAGCCCATTTTCTTTTTGGAACCCATTTCCTGTTGGCAAAGCATGCTAGAGCCAAAACAAAAAGTAGAAGTGAAGCTGTCACTAAAAGGCTCTCAGCTGTCATGTTACAGTGATGAATATGGAGGTCTGAAGAGTGATGATAAACAATGACCGCAAGCTTTACTTTATTTACTTTGAGCTGGGGTTAAAAAAATAAAAATAAAAAAATGTTGGCAGCAATAATAGCAATAATGGATGAGAGCCAAACAAGCGAATGTCAGCAAATGAGAAGGAAAGTACCCTAATAGGCACAACACAGCTCTGATAAGCCACATGCAGCATCTGAAGTAATGCCTTTAACAGGACACCCCTGCTTTTAGGTTTGGTGTATTGACTCTGAGGTTACAGTAAAACAAAGGATACACAGCAGCATTTTTTTGTCACTGAAATGAGGTACGTCTTGAACCCAGCATTAATTATGCCCTCAGTGCAGGATAATATTCACGCTCAAATACATGTAGTCTCTCAAGTCTTTTAAAGAATATATGACATACACAAATACACAGACAAACAATAGATAATCTGAAATATTTGAGATTATATTTGATTGCAGCCTTGGACAGGAAAGTCCACCTCTTTAGATAATTAGATCTGGTCTCTGTTACCCATTCCAACTTTCTGTCTATGCAAACCACAAACCATATAAATATATATTCTGAGTAAAGGTGTGCCTGGAACCACTCAGCCTGAGTTGTTTATATTCAGTGACAGAAAGGAGTGTTTCTCTCCAGATAAGTTGGGCTGTAACGTAAATATACTTCTCAAAAAAATAAAGGGAACATTTCACTTTAATTGTGTGTGTGGCTCCAAATCCAGGCCTCCATTGGTTAATAAATTTGATTTCCATTGATGATTTTTGTGTGATTTTGTTGTCAGCACATTCAACTTTGTACAGAACAAAGTATTCAATGAGAATATTTCATTCATTCAGATCTAGGATGTGTTATTTGAGTGTTCCCTTTATTTTTATTTTTTTGAGCAGTGTACATCTGGAGAGAGATTTCTGGTACTGCAAAGTCTTATACATTGCAAAAAAAATAAAAAATATGTGAGGTGAAAGTAACTTATAATGTGTGATTTCCATGCCCTTAAACAGAGGGAGGTAATGTCCTTTATTATTATGACCAAAGCGATATGGTCTCCACTGATTGATCATAATGCGACAGAATGGCGACCTGTCCAAGGTGTACCCCGCCTCTCGTTAGCTAGAGATGGGCACCAGCATCCCCCCCGAATCCACTAAGAGACAAGGGTGCACAGGTTCACAAATTGTCGTCGCTGAAGATTTTATACCATATCAAGTGTTCATGAGTCAGAAGTGACTGTAATGGTTTATCCAGAATGTAATCCATCAACAAGTATAAAAATACTTTGTTGTGCACAGATTTGGAGATACTGGGACACTGCACTGAGAATTCACTATGAGTAATGTTGGAGTCATTAATAAACTGAACCCAGCACTCCTTGGCATTAACAAGCTGAACGTATCTGCAGGAACACGAGTTCCTTTAAATCAAGGCTATAAACCCACCTGTTTTGAATTGCCTTTAATTCATAGTAACTGGAATATATTAAATGTGTACTTGCTTGATGATGGCATTTGACAAATGTAATTTTTATTGCTGTTTTGTAATTGCTCACTGTATTATGCTTTCTGGTGTAAATCACTTTCAACTGCCTTGTTGCTGAAATGTGCTACATAAATAAACATGAGTTAACTTGACTTGACCTGACATATCTCTCCATGACTGTCAAAGAGATTTCTGACTTGAACGCTATTGCATGTAGCCAATCTCTTCTCACTCTATAAAACTGCACTGTTAATTTGCCCCTTCTTTTACTTCAGTTTGTTTTGTCATTTTCATTATTGACTGGTGTTTTTTTTTTGTTTTTGTTTTTTTGCAGAACCCTTTGAATGGGTTTATTGTTGTCTCTGAGGTCACAGAAATCTGGGCTACTGTAAGTGTAGCTCAAGGTCCTACCAGGGAAGATGTGACAACATTTATGTCACATAGGCTTCACAGAAGAGTGGAGTTGTAATAATAACTGAGGCTTTAAAAGAAGTTCTTTCTGGCAATAAACAAAGGTATAAACTGAAAATTTAGGCAAAGCGTAGCAAAGAAAAGATTTCCTCAAAGGTAAGAACCTGGTGTCTGCTGTGTGTCTTCATATTGCTGTGGTTCAGGAAGCAAGATACACACATTTCTTTACGAGTACTGAAAAAATGCATGCATCCCCCTTTTTATTAAACAAGACTATAAAGAGTTCCTAATAGCTCTAAATTGAAAAATGATGCCCCAACCATCAAAAGTGAAAAGTGATGCTGACTTCTACTTCGGCAGTTCTGCTTTTATAATGCAGAAGTCTGCTGCAGGGAAGGATTGATCTGAAGTATTGCTAGTTTCATGATTGCAAGCAGGGGGAAAAGCTATAGCTTACTATATTATAATAGGACATGTGTTGCGAATTTGCCCAATTTAAAATCTAGTTCATGCAACACACAACAACCTGGCTACGTTTGTGTAGCCAGGAGAGAGGGGTCACCCTTTGACCACATTGCAATTAAAATTTATGCAATGCATATGCAATGTTTTAATTTGCATATGCAAATTAAAGCATATGCAGAAGTTTAAACCAGATCAAAAAACAGTTTAAAAGCGATGACACTGATTGATTGAATCACATTGCAAGTCAGAAAAACATTTTTTTGTTCTTTTTTTTTTTTTTTTTTGCTAATCTCATTCTGCTGGTATGCAGTGATCTAATTTTGCATCTCAAAAAGACATTAGTAAAAATGTCTAATGTTTAGTCATGTTTAAGTTCTTGAGTGTCATTCCTCATTTTTACGTTTTCTGACTGTTATGCAATTAATATCATTTTATCATAGTTCATACTGCACCCACTTCTCCATAAACGGTTTTATAATAATATAATAAGAAGAAATTAGTTTTCATTTTATCCACCAGGAACGTTTAAAACCATACTGGATAATCGTGTGGTGAGACGACTGACTGATTTTATCTTTCGTGTTTCAGAGCATATTGTGTTGGTTAGAAAATTCCAGTCACTCAAGTGCTGATCTAATCAAGATTTTATAAGTTGTGTCTAACCACAAACAGTCTTGTTAATGTTGCAATCTGACAGTCTAGCAAACCTAGCATTCGTATTAACATACAGTAAAAATTATATATTTTAGGATTCATTGAATATATATATATATATATATATATATATATATATATATGTTTCTATCTGGCATTGTCAGGTCATGTTATTTAAAAAGCATGAACAGAGAATTTCCAAAATGCAAGAAGTTAAAAATTCAAATGATCTGTCTAAAAAAAGAGCCAAGATTTAGTTATCATTTTACACATTTGAGTCCTGCATTTGTCACATTCTGAGTTGAAAGTCTAAGTGTCTGTGTCTATTCTACAACATGAAGTGAATTCACTCCAAAAACTTACACTGTTGATAAACTGAACTGGGAGAAAATAAGTGTCATTGGTGGATTTCCTTTTCATTTTCTAGTATGTTCTACAGTGTGGAAACACCTGTCCCACAGAAGCAGCCTATCATGTGTTTTTCCTGACTAGAGAAGAAAAATGGATGGAAATATATGCAAATTACAGTGGAAAATGATTGAAAAACAAAACAGTTTTAATTGAGTTCTTATTGAGCAGATTTGGGAAAATAAGAACAGTAGAACAGTTAAATTAGTTTGAACAGTAAATTACATAATCTTATCATAATCTTCCAGAACCTTAAAGTCTGAGAAAATGTGATACTCACTCACACACTTTTCAGCTCAACTATTTTTTGAATAAAAAATAATATTGAGTTACTATACTGAACTTTTATTTGTTAAACGCACTTGTTGCTCATGAAAGCACTCAGTTTCTTACCTCTACTTTAACAAATAGACATTTCTCTTGGGGAAAATTGTCTTTTCCCCTGGAGAAATCCCACCATGGAACTGGTAATGATTCTCTCTGAAGGAGATATACAGCAGTTTATTTGACTTATTTTTCTTTTCCCATGTCAGCTTATCTGAGTTAATGTTACATGTTTTCAGCTCTTCAAGAAGCTTTCGACCCTGAAAAGTGAAACTGGACGATATTTGGTTTCTGGAGGCTACAAAGGCTTTTTTTTTCTACTTTTAAAGGCAAATTACACTTTTTTAATCCCTTTGCATTTTTTTTTTTCAAATCTTCTTGACTGTCTGAAACTGCAATTACACTTCACTGGTTTAGCCAGATCATAGATAAATAAATATCTATTCATTTATTTATGTATTTATTTATTGTAGCTCAACTGTGTAATGTCAGTCTCTGTTTCTAGGCGTGCGTTGAGCCTCCGGAGCTGTGAAAGAATATGAAATAAATAACCATAAAATTCAATCAAAAATGATGCAGGGTACAAGTTAAGAATCTGGGTTGCTGTAAAGAAATAATGATTAGACCAAAATACTGTGAACCTAAAACTTTTGCTTTATCCTACTCTACAAATACATTTAGCCTTTGCTTAACTAGAAAAGAACAGATGTTCTTTCTCACTCCCATCACACCCCTTTTCCACCACCCTGTCTGCAAGGCAAACATGATACGCTGTGCAGCAACATTTTAATCTGTACTCACCGACTGAAGGAATCTAACCACTGAATAGTTAAATTGCCTACTGTGACATTAAACATGTATGACCATTAAGATTAGGATCTCAAATCTCCAGCATTTTCTGATATTTAATCTCCTGTGCTTCCACAAGTTGATTCTTCTCAGCATGAGTATTTGACATTAACAGTCTTAGGTACAGTAGATCAGAGTGAGCATTACAACAGTACAAAAAAAAGATCTGTATTCATAAGTCCAGTTTAGAATATAAATACATATTTCATTTAGAAATACACAGTGCGTGATGACATGTCAATGATTGCATGCAACAAAGTGTGTTTTTATCTTACCGTGCAGAGCTCGCTTTGCAGATGAGGGCAGGGAGTGGGAGTAAGATAGCTCACAGGACGGGGTAACTGAACACAGCAGGAAACGAGGGAGCAACTGAGAGATGAAAAGAGAGGAAGTTAAGAAGCAAGTGAGTTGTGTGAGGAGGAGAGACTGAAACTGTGACTTCCCCACAAGAATATGAGTAGTGAAAGAGAGGGTGAACAGAATAATGGGAGGAGCAGTATGTTCTGTACACATGCCACACTCCACCTAAACCTGTACAACAAACCAGCGAAAGTGAGCCGGAGACGGGTACAGGACCGCTACAGCTGCCTGACTGTCTGTCTGGTCAGCAAATAGAAAAGCAGAGTTTGTGAAAATGAATAAAAATTGTGATGGGCTAGAGGGCGGGGGGAGACAGAAGGAGTTAAAGGATACAATCAATATAGGATAAAGTGCAGTGTGGCTGAGCATCTGCGGTGAGTGTTATCATAAAGTCAGCTCTTACTTAAAAGCTCTGATCTGAGGGGCAATCGGGGAAGCAAATGCTAAAAGACTCTGCCAACACTGAAAGATGCGTTGAAACCTGCAGATTCCTCCTCAGATGCCGGGTTGAATTAGTGACAGTGGATCCCATGAGTCATTTACGGGAGATCATTGTCTTAGCAGGGTGTTCGTTGTGTGAACATATCCTGTTGTATGTCACACCACGCTGGTGTGTTTGCTTAGCCTGCCGATCAGACTGTCAACTACTGAAAGTTTGCTTTTATTTGGGTTCATGGTTTCTATTCATACATGCAGAGACATGTTCCAGTTTTGCTTTCTATGGAGATGAGAACAGTTTTTTTGTTTTGTTTTGTTTTGTTTTTTTGACATGTCTACCCATGCAATGTCATTTAACAGAAGATCAATAACATTGAGAGCAAAGAATAACAAGCAAAGCAGCTCTTTAAGTGTAACATATTCTTTGCAGATAGAAATAATCTTTCATTGCTTCATCTTTCTTTGATACAATAAACCTGAGTTGGTTCTCACACTTTCTGCAATGGCACCAGCTGTTTGTTATTAAAATGTCCAAAAATATATAAAAGCAAAAGATTAAGGTTTTGGCTTAAAGTTGGAATACTTTTTTTTGTTGTTTATTGCACCATAGATTATTTACCCATCAGACACTCTATGTCACTTTGAGACAATCAACGAAACAGCAACGATGACTGACCCCAATGAATCAGGGAGTTTTGGTTGCAAAGTTTTCTTTATTTTTCTATTCAAATAGAAGCATTACAGCCTCCAAAACAACCGAAAATGGATTCCACAACACAAGAACATTTTTAAAACTTATATGTGCTCATGATAATTAAGTCAATAAAAATCCCCTCTTGACAAATGTGGTTGTGCAGTATAATTGTGAACGTTTTAATGCCATGAACACCATCAGAAGAGAAAAGATCCATGTTATTAAAACAGCTATCACAATATCACAGACACTCTGGAGCCATATTGGATTTGAGATCAAGGTTTGTGAGAAAAGTTAAAGTCCTGTAAAATATCTGTCCATACTCGGGAAGTTTTGGATTTACTGAGGTGGTCCTTATCTTTCAAAAAAGTCTACAACCACTAGTGTGGATTGAATACTCTGGAGTTATTTATTTTTTTTATTTTTAGAAATAAAATCAATTAAGGTAAATCCACTATAGATGTATCTCAAGTGAAAAATAAAATGATTTTCTAGTCCAAGCGTAGTTGTGTTGTGTACCGGAATGACAAGATGGAGGTACTTTCTGTTTCAGTGTTTCAGTGAGTTGAGCATTTCTAGTCAAAGCACAGTAAATGTCACCTTCTCAAGTTTTTGCAAAATCAGACCAGTGTCTTGTGCTTTTCATTCATAATGTTTGGTTTTGGTAGTTGTCTGGGATCTTACAGGTTCCCGTGTTTGTTCTTGAGTTTGTTGCCTAGTTTTTGTGTTTGTGTTTTGTTTCTCAGAACACTATGTTCAAGTTCTGTAAGTCATTTCGTTTTAACTGAGTCATTTATTTACCTATGCTGATATTCAGTGAAAGAACCACATCCAGTCTGGTGAGTGTTCTTGTCAAGTCATGTTTTGTGTTCCTCCTTTTAGCTTGGATTCCCTGTCTGGCCAGGGGAAGAAAAAAAAAAAAAAACTCTTTCCAAATTGGTGTTTGGATCCTGATCTGCTTACAGGCTTTCAGAACTTTGCAAAGCAGATTCGATTACAAAATGAATGAAAACAATTATCGTGCTGTAATAAACATTAAGTAATGTACAACATGTCGCAAGCCCAGCAGGGGAATCCAGACAGTTGAATTGTTACAATTTGAAGAATAGGGTATCTGAATTTACATTGAACAATTAAACATTAGAACGAATGAATGACTTTATTGCTTTTTTTTTTATTGTACTGTAAAACAGTACAATAAAGTTAAGATCATCTTTCCTACAAGGTCCAATCAATAAAAGTAACAGATACATCAAAAACACCACTATGTACAAAAAAACATGAACAGTTTATTAGTAGCCATGTAAAATGTGATCAAAAAAGAAAAAGTTAAAACCAAGTCATTTAGTTTTCTGAGATTGCTCAGTGAACACCACCCAGTCAGAGTGGTTTTGATAGGCCACTCATCTTCTTATGAAATGAGTCCCGCTGCTGTGGTGTCATCTATAAACTTCATTATTTGATTTCCTGGAAATGCTGGCGAGTGTATAATGAGGAGATAGAGGAAGGGAGAAAGTGATGCACAGTGAGCTGACAGTGGAAAACACCCCTGTATGTATGTTGACTTTTTTTTTATGTAATATTTAACAAATCTGTTTTCTCATTGTCTTCATCCTGTCTTCAAAAAGAGGCAAGTATCGGTTCAGTCAATGTGAATCGCATTTCTCCTTCAGCAGACAGTGCATGTAAAATATTTTTAGCTGCCAAATGTGAGACCTGAAACCTGCCGGTTGAAGTGAACCGGAAAGGCAGCACTTTTAAAATGTAATTTCCACAATGAGAAGAAATAGAAGAAGCATGGTGGATGCAGATTACAGACATCTATTGAAGCTGCGGGGCTGTTTCTTTCAAAGTGAGGCTGATGTGTGTTCATTCTATAGCTGCTTTCTTATTGGAGCTCATGCATGTGAATTCATGCTGAAGTAGTAAGTGTAAATCACCTTGAATTATCATCTTGATTTTTGGGATTTGTTTATTTTTTCTTTTCTTGACTCATATTTGTTGCTATTTCTAGAAGATACTTTTAGACAATAATAGAGCAAGTCCAAGCGTCAATGTCTCTTCAGGATACAAGCGTTGGTGTTTCTTTCGTTCCTCAATTTAATGTTTGTGATTTCATTTTTTTTCCCCTTCCTCCTGACTCAGGCTTAGGTTGAAGAGGCATCTAAGCAGAGGGCATGTTGGCTGGCACAGGTCTTTAGAGTCCTGAGGGACAGGCCATCGGGGCCTGCAGCCTTACGCTGATGGAACCTCTCCAGCTGTATCCTGGCCTGGTCTGTGGTTATAAGATGCTTGCAGGAGCAATAATCACTAAAACATTGACCAAGCAGTCATAAAGTCATATATATATATATATATATATATATATATATATATATATATATATATATATATATATATATATATATATATATAACTGTGCAAAAATCATAATCGTGCTTTTTTTTTTTTTCCTGTGAAAGCCAGCTTTTCCTTTTTTTTTATCACCTGTGTAAGTTGACCATAAAGCCTTCATCAAGCCAGACTGGTCACTGTTTGAGACTGTTTTAGGTAAAAATCATTTATTTTTTAACACTGCATCTCTGTTTGATGCTCCAAATACCACACATCCAGCAACATGTGGTATTTTCACTCGGATGCCAGGTGGGAGAAGCCCATTTTATTGCTGTGAAATTGCAAAAGAAAAGCCTTTCAGAATACTAACTAAATCCTGATTTTCAAATGATTTCTGTTCCATTCCACTTCTCAAGAGCAAAGCTAAAGGCTTAATTGAGGGGTGCTGTTCTGACGTTGGCAGAGCGCTGGAAAGAACAGGAGCTTCTTAAAGAGACAGAGGCCCAATTTCAAGGTGTTAAATGCAAGGCCAAATTTCCTTTGAGTCACATTTGATAAATACTGGATTTTTATAACAACTGAGACTTGAATGTGCTATTAAATGACACTATGTGCTTAGAAAATACATAATACTGCCCCGTTAAAAATCAGTGCCAGTTCATTATTTTAGACATTTACTCTTTAATTTGCATTAGTTGAAGCAATTGATCATAGCTCAGTATATACATTTGTGCTTGTTTGTTTGTTAGTTTGTTTGTATTTATAAAATCTTAAGTACACATATCTTTATATTACATTAAATGATAATAGATTTACGAGTTAATTTCTGATAAACTTAGTTGGAGTGTGCTTACCTCTAATTGATCATAAACTACATTAGTGAGAAATACAATTGAAAGAAACCTATTTGTTTCAGATGGATAACGGGAAAGCAACAAATTAATTTCAGACTGATAACCTGATAAATAATAAATGAAAAAGAATGACTGAATCACAACTGTTATTATTCAACTTGAAGCCGGAGCTAAAAGATTGGTAAGTACTGCATTTTAAAATGTCAGAACAGGTGCAATATAAGTTTGGGATCTTGCAAATCTGTAAGGAGAAGGGGGGAGTTCATGAGGGGTACTGCTGTTGTTAGTTTTTTTTAATCTGTTGAATTCTGGGTATCTTGATTTTTTTGGTATCAGATCAAACAGCAAACAGTGAGTTATATTCCGTTATAAATCTGCATCACAGGGTTCACAGCTTGTAACTTAAAGTTCGGCAGGCGCAATACTGCTCAGACAACTACACTGGACACACACATGCACGAGTCATAATGGGCTCCTTCAGTTGTTAAACTGGCAGAAAATGATCTCTCATGTCTAATGTGCTGTTTATTGTGTGGGCTGGTGCACTTTCAACCCATCTTTTTACCATCCCTCCCCCTCCACCCTCCATCTTAATCTGCCTTCTTTCTTTTGTACATTTCAGAAGACCGTCTTCCTCCCAAGAAGTGAAATTACAGAAGAATCTCCACCAGCGAGATGTAATAAAATCCTATTCATCTCGCATGCTAAAACTGCCATACACTTACCAGGAAACTCTCATCGTA